TGGGGGGGGGGGATGCGCAGATCTGCTCTCACAGAGGAGGGAGAGCTTGTACCTGAAGGCGGGCCGGGGGTGGGGCTCTGCAACTTACCTGGCTGCTTCTTGCTTCTCGTGGCCCGACTGAGGGCTGCTGGGAGCAGGGGGCGGGGCTTGTTGCATGCGCCTGCCCCCTGGGCTCCTTACTGCCAGAACTCTGCTCCTGTGCGCTCCCACAGGAAATGACCCCTGATTTTGAGTAAAAAATAATATCGTTTATTGGGTTTGTCTGGCTTTTTTATAAAGTTTATATCTTTGGCACCTGGCATTACATTTTATGACACACCCGGCCGGGCCCAATAAAGTGACATTTATTTCAGATCCGGCCCTCATAACAAATGAGTTTGACACCTCTGCCCTATAGGGTTGCCATAAGATGGCTGCGTCTTTCTTCCCTGTGGGGGACACAAAGTTGTCAACATCGTTCTCTTCTCCATTTTATCCTCACAACAACCCTGTGAGGTAGGTTAGGCGGAGGACGTGTGACGGGCCCAGGGTCATCCAGCAAGTGGTGTGTAGCGGTTTGAGTGTCGGACTTTTGCCCGGGATGACTGGGTTCGAATCCCTTGTTCGACCATGGAAGCCCACCGAGTAAACTTGGGCCCGTCACAGTCTCTCAGCCTATCCTACCCTCACAAGGTTGCTGTTGTGAGGATTAATTGGGGGCGGGGGGAACGAGGCAAAAAGCCTCTTGGAGTTCCCAAGCAGGGAGACATAAATTAAAAATAAGCATAAAATAGATAAGTTGCCATCCCAGAGTGGGAATTTAAACCTGGTCTCCTGGATCCTTGTCTGATACTCTAACTCCTGCTCCACGCTGGATCCCAGAGCTGGGGGGAAAGCCCTCCTGCGAACAGAATAGATCCACAGGATCCATCCGGTGTCAAAATACGGGTCCTATTCTCAGGCCTCTTTCCAGGAGATGGTTCAATTGCTTCTGGAATTTCCTCTCTTGGTGTGAGGATATTATGGACGTGCTGAAAACAGCTGCTCTTGTTTCTTTTTCATGTATTGCAGTCATCATTGGTTTCTGTAGTGTTACTGATAATTCTTTTGTTTGTTTTGGCCTGGCTTTTTTATCATTTTAATACCAGTTTGACTTTTGCACCATTTTATGCTATTTGCCCGCTGTTTCTATATGATGAGAACATAAGAGAAGCCAATGCTGGATCAGGCCAGTGGCCCATCCAGTCCAATACTCTTGTGTCACACAGTGGCCAGAAATACCAGGTGCCATCCGGAGGTCCAGCAGTGGGGCCAGGATACTAGGAGCCCTCCCGCTGTTGACCCCCCCCTCCCCAGCACCAAGAATACAGAGCATCCCTTGGCCCAGACAGAGAGTTCCCATTAATACCTTGTGGCTCATAGCCACTGATGGACCTCTGCTCCATATGTTTATCCAATTCCCTCTTGAAGCCGTCCATGCTTGTAGCTGCCGCCACCTCCTGTGGCAGTGAGTTCCATGTGTTAATCACTCTTTGGGTGAAGAAGGACTTCCTTTTAACCGTTCTAACCCGACTGCTCAGCAATTTCACTGATATACTGTTTGCATGCAACCAACCCCAAAATAACTTTGGAAAGTGGGCGGTTTAGTGGCTGAGAGACAGAGCTATTACGTGGCGGGTCCCAGGTTCAAATATCAACAGGTCGCCTTCAGTGAGCCTTGTCTCTCTGGCTTAGTTCCTCTTTCTGCAGTATAGGGATAAAACATAAAGGTAAAGGTTTCCCTTGCTTGAAAGCTAGTCGAATCTGGCTCTAGGGTGCGGTGCTCATTTCCATTTCCAAGTCGAAGAGCCAGCGCTGTTACCTTCCCATCAAAGCGGTACCTATTTATCTACTTGCAATTTCTTGCTTTCAAACTGATAGGTTGGCAGGAGCTGGAACCAGAGATGGGAGCTCACTCCTTCACGCGGCACTCGGTTCTCGAACTGGCAAACTACAGACCTTCCGGTCTGCAGCTCAGCGTCTTAACCACTTGAGCCACCGCAGCCCCTCTTGTATAGGGATAAGGGATAATAATTCTGGCCACCTTTGGAGGGGGGCTACTCTGGGAAGGTCTGTGTAGTACTTTGAATATCGAAAGTGCTATATAAAAGCCAAGCATTATCCCATGGCCTGGCATGATGCGTGTTGAGTTGTCAACATTATTGTCAGTCAGCTACTTACATTTTGCCATCAGATTACATGGTGCTTAAAGAGGAGTATGAACACTGTGTAATCTGATGGCAAAACACCAGTTGCAGTATTTGCCCCGGCCAGCATAGCCTGATCTTGTCAGGTCTCAAAAGCTAAGCGGGTTTGGCCCTAGTTCGTACTTGGATGGGAAGTCCAGGGGAGGTAACGGCAAACTGCCACTGAAACCCCTTGCCTTGAAAACCCGGTGGGAGTTGCTGCAAGTCAACTGCAACCCGATGGTCCTTTCTGCCACCACCATGCCTTTCTTGCCATGACGTGGTCTCGTAAGATCTCGTAAGATCTCAGAAGCTAAGCAGGGTTAGTACTTGGATGGGACCAAGGAAGCCCAGGGCTGCTATGCAGAGACAGGCAATGGCAAACCACCTCTGAACATCTCTTGTCTTGGAAGCCCCACCAGGCGTCGCCATGAGTCGGCTGTGATCTGATGGCCAAAAAAGAGGACAGTGGAATATTTGGGGAAGGGTGGAGTAAATTGCGGTGGCTCAAGTGGTGAAGACGCTGAAGCTGCAGACCGGAAGGTTGGTTGTTCAGCAGTTTGAGACCCGAGTGCCGCATGACGGGGTGAGCTCCCGTCTCTGGCCCCTGCCCCTGCCAACCTAGCAGTTCGAAAGCATGACATTGCAAGTAGATCAATAGGTGCCACTTCAGTGGGAAGGTAACAGCGTTCCGTGCGCCTTGGTGTTTAGTCATGCCGGCCACAGGACCACGGAAACGTCTTCGGACAGCGCTGGCTCTTCAGCTTTGAAACGGAGATGAGCACCGCAACCCTAGAGTCGGACTCGACTGGCTTTTGAGCAAGGGAAACCTTTACCTTTACCTTACTGAGTAATTTCACGATTTAGAAGAGAAGAAAAGGAGATTGGATTTATACCCCGCCCTTCACTACCCAAAGGAGTCTCAGAGCGGCTTACAATCTCCTTTCCCTCCCCCTCCCCACAACAGACACCCTGTGAGGTAGGCGCGGCTGAGAGAGCTCTGATGGAAATTGCTCATTTTCAAGGACAGCTCTTATCAGAACTACGGCTTGCCCAAGGTCATCCAGCAGGTGCAAGTGGAGGAGGAATGGGGAATCAAACCTGGTTCTCCCAGATTAGAGTCCGCGCACTTAGCCAGGACACCAAACTATGCCCACAGATTGCTGTGCAGTCATATTTATACACTCCCAGGCTTTGGCTTGGACGCTGTAAAAATGGGTGGGGGTGGATCAGAGTGCAACTGTGTTGGTGGGTTTCATAACGAGCTAAGACTGTGCAGCGGCCAGGAAAGGCGTATGTGTGCGTGAAGTCAACAAAGAAATGGGATCTGTTTTGGTGAGGGACGGGTGATGGGGTGGGTGTATGCACAATCCAGTTTTGGAGGAGGCACAACAGGCAGATGGTTGGGGATGACTCATAAAGTGTCACCAGACTTGTTTGTTGTTTTAGCTGCCGCAGCGGAGCCCCGTGACCTCTCTGGATTAGCCTCTCTCTCGGTCTCTCTGTGTGTCTTTTTCTCTCCCTGCATTCAGATGCAGTCAGTCTCTTGAGTCCCAGAGTCAGGAGGCAGCATCAGGGAAAGGCTGTGCTTGGCCTCTCTGCCCTGTGGCTGGACCTCCAGAGGAACTGGTTGGCCCCTATGTGAGACGGGACACTGGACTGGATGAACCCTCACTGATCTGATCAAACGAGGCTCTTCTGATGGTATTTCTCTCTCTCTCTCTCTCTCTCTCTCTCTCTCTCTCAGGCGGGTGCCAACTGGGCATCACAGCCAAAGGTGAACGCTTGAAACACTGGTACGAGTGTCTGAAGAACAAGGATAAGAAAATTGAGCGCTGGCACGCCCTACAGAACGAGAACCACGTGGCCAGTGATTAGAAGGTTCCCCCTGCGCCCGCCCTCCTCCGCCAACCCCACAGTAGATTTCCGACATCTCGTCTTCCAACACGTTTTTGTTCCTTTCTCTCTTGGGAAAAGAGACCCCCGTGACCTCCTTCCCGGGAGCGGCCTCTCTCCTTCACCGTTCTCATGCCAAGGATAACCCTGGTTCTATTTTCTGTTTGTATCACGGTCCATTTTGACTGCCCCGCTCCCCCCCGGGTGCATTCGTGTACAGATTTTCGAGCAATAGCCCGGCACTGACAAATTTTTACTTTGGCCTCTGCTTTTTTGGGCAGCCGAACGTCAAAGCCCCTCCCTTTGCTTTGCCCCCCCTTTAAACGACCTTGACCCCCCTTCTCCTCCTTCCGGTTTCGATTTCTGCATGTGGAACATCCTCTTGCTCCACTCATCCCCCTTCCCTCCCCCTCCCCTGTATAAAGTGAAATACTTTTAGCACTGCTATCGGAAAAATGCACGGCTACGGTCCTTCGATCCGGCTGCTTTGAGCATGGAGGCAGCAGCGGAAAACACCGCAAGCGCGGGACAGCTTGAGCTTCTCCAGCCTTGGGACTTTCACCACGAGAGCAGCTCTGCCTGGGTGCCGATCCTTAACACAACGTAGCACCTGCCTTTTTTAATCGTGCGTTTTCGCCTGTGGCCTGATGCCCACGCCATGGATGCCAGGGTTCACTTTTGAGCGGTGCATTTATCACAATGCCTCACACTTCTCACTACGATGCTTCAAGCAGGAAGGACCAGGCCTCCTCCCTCCTCCGGCTGGCAACTAGATTGGTCAAGAAGCCAACCGAAAGCCAAGCCATCCCCTCTGCCCCGGCGCTGCGTTCGAACCCTGCTCATTCCAACAGTGCTTGTCTAGGAGGCGTTCCCACTGGATCTTATCCTCTCGAGGTTTTATTTCGTATCAGGGATGGCCCATCCCCTAGGCACGGCTGGGCAATTACTAAGGGCAGCCCTGGTGGGCGGAAAATAACCAGCTCTGTTGCTCACGGGGGGTCCCCGAGCCTTGGGTCGTCCCTGTTTCAGATCAAGGAAAGGAGAGTCGGCACGCTCTTGAAATCCAGGGTGGCCGTGGACACCCAGAGCTATCAGAGGGAGAGGAAGCACAGAGAGGCAATGCTTTCTCTTCCATCTCTTGCGTAGAGCGTTTGGATGTCGGGAGATTGTGGCCCTGTTCCTTGCGGCTCGGGCCAAAAGAGCGTGGCCATCTTGGATGCTTTTAGGTCAGGCAGTCCCAGGCGACCCCTGTTGGCCATTGGCCCTTGGAGAGGCCTTCTCGCTGGGCAGGTGGAAACCCCCCCACAATTCTCTGCCTCAGCCAGACCTTGGTTGATGCGGCCCAAGACAAACACTCTCGAGGTGGAGACCGTGTGGTGGCTCGAAGCCCAGCGGGTATATCTCATCTTTTTTTGACGATCTTCTTCTTGGAATATGTCCTACCGGTGGAACCCAAAACCTTGGCACAGTCCCTTTGCATTCGTTTTGTCCCAAGAAGATCTCTGAAGCCTCTCCCGCACAGGGGGTGGAACAAATCACACTCGTGCTACTTCGTCTGACTGACGAGAGTTGTCTGGTGCCTCGGAAGTGGGGATTCCCAGGCAAGGGGGGGGGGGCGTGGATTGGCCTATTACGAGGAGAGTGACCGGTGGGCTGCTGTGGACCTTTTGGGCAAGTTAAAGGGCCAGTCCACCCCCCGGGAGTGGCCGCTCCCTCTGGGAGTGTGTGCCTTCCTGCAGAGAACAGCAGCCACAGGGAGTCACTCTACGCCCACCTGCCTCAGACCTAGAGTGCCAGTCCTTCCCGCATGCCAGGGCACACCGGCTGCGTGCTGGTGTCCTTGTGCGGCTTGTTCCGAGCAGAGCCGTGATCAAGTGTCCGACCGTCCCCGTGACGGTGACGTTAGAGCCGTCCTGGCCCTCTTTTTAGAACCTACTCGTACCCGTCATTTGAGGAGGGCGCGTTTTACGAACAAATGACCTGGATGTTTTGTCTGTCCTGAGTGGAAGTCTCGACAAAGTGTTTGTGTTCGTCTGTGGTGACCCGTGACGTCTTGTCCTCCTAGGGAAAAAAAAAAGAGAGAGGAGCCAAATACGTCTCCCTCCCACCCCTCCCACTTTATCCAAGATGACCTACTTGGGTTTCTTTTTAAAATCCCCCTGTTGAGAAGTTGGCCAAGTGCGTTGCTCAGCTGAATGACCTCCGACAATAATTTCATTGCCAGACCTGCGGGATCCGGGACGTGACATATCCGAACTGGTTTTGTGACTTCTGGGTTGGTCCTCATCCTGTTTCCCCAAGCTTCCTTAAAAAAAAAACAACTAGAATTTAAAAACCTATTGGGAATATTTGCTTTTTTAGCAGACTAGCGGTGCAATCCTAAGGAGCGTTACTCCAGTCTAAGTCCATTCATTTCAGTCTGATGTAGTGGTTAAGTGCGCGGACTCTAATCTGGGAGAACCAGGTTTGATTCCCCACTCTTCCACTTGCACCTGCTGGATGACCTTGGGCAAGCCACAGTTCTGTCAGAGCTGCTCTTGAAAAAGAGCCGTTTCTCTCAGAGCTCTCTCAGCCCCACCTGCCTCACAGGGTGTCTGTTGTGGAGAGGGGGAGGGAAAGGAGTTTGTAAGCCGCTCTGAGACTCCTCTGGGTAGTGAAGGGCCATGGGGTATAAATCCAATCTCCTCTCCTCTCCTCTCCTCTCCTCTCCTCTCCTCTCCTCTCCTCTCCTCTTTCCTTCTCCTTCTCCTCTGTTTTCCTTGCTTGAAAATGGCCCTGGGAGCTGCTCTGAGCTGTTAGGGAAATCTGTGTGCAGCCTGTGTGAGAGCCAGTTTGGTGTAGTGGTTAAGTGCATGGTCTCTAATCTGGGAGAACCGGGTTTGATTCCCCACTCCTCCACTTGCACCTGCTGTCTTGCCCAGTCCCTACCCACTTTATCCACCCAGTTCCATCCTGGTTCTACCCCAATTCCATTCCGGATCGGCCAGAGTGTTCCTGGCACGCAGACTGCTCTAAGGTCCACCCACAATCTTCCTGCCCGGGCATCACCCTCTGGTTCTGTCTGGATTGGTGTAGTGGAGAGCCAGTTTGGTGTAGTGGTTAAGTGCACGGACTCTAATCTGGGAGAACCGGGTTTGATTCCCCACTCCTCCACTTGCACCTGGCTGGAATACCTTGGGCCAGCCATAATTCTGTCAGAGCTGTCCTTGAAAAAGAGCAGTTTGTGTCAGAGCTCTCTCAGCCCCACCTTCCTCACAGGGTGTCTGTTGTGGGGAGGGGGAGGGAAAGGTTGATTGTAGGCTGCTCTGAGACTCTGAGTGAAGGGCGGGGTATAAATCCAATCTCCTCCTCCTCCTCCTCTTCCTCCTCCTCCTCTTCCTCTTCTTCTTCTTCTTCCTCCTCCTCCTCCTTAGACTGGAGTAACTCTTGATATTGTCTAGGCCAGCAAAATTTTTCTCTCATTCTCTTTCTCAAAAATGGGTCCAACTAGATGAGGTTCTGGGAGATCTCTTATCATGTACTGCAGGGGTCCTGTCTTGTTTGAGCTTGCAGACACCCTTGGAATGCTGATACAATGTGGTGGGTGCAGCTACAGAACGGCTGCCACAAAATGGCTGCCGCAGGAGGCGGAGCCAGCCACAAAATGGCTGCCGCAGTTTACCTTCAGTAACACAGCACAGATCCCGGTGTTGTGGCGGCAGCTGCTGCCAAAGCAACATTTTTTTAAAAAATTGCACAGCCAATCAAATCTCCAGTGGCCAATCAGAAGCCTTGCTGGGCAAAAGCCCTCCCTGACCCCGCCCACTCTCTAAAAACACTTGGCGGCCACCAGGAAAGGTGTTAGCAGGCACCGTGACACCCACGGGCACCCTGTTGCAGACCCCTGGTGTAGTCCCAACATTTCCCCTCTCTAATGTGCAGTCAGGCAGGGCCATGTAGCAGAGGGGAGTTGCACTGGCCTCTCACACACATTACTGTCCTGACCTGAAATGGAGACAGGATGTCTCTCTGTGGGTGGAAACATACAGGCAATGTGCAAGTGCCTATATGATTCCCATAATGGGGCAAATAGCGACTCTGTGGGCTGTTTTACGTTGGGACAGTGGTGTGGAGTGGAAGAAGTTATCCCTCAGGCCCAATTGAAAGCCTGCATGAGGCTGCTATTTACGAAGAGGAAAAAGTGCTCAGGAGTTGTGTCCAGGGATTTCCCACCCATCATGTCCGATAGTGCCCTCACACAGCTTTACCTGTCATGGCTCCTCCAACAGAAGTCTGGGAAAGAGGAGCTGTTGGGACGGCCGGGAGACCCCATTGTGGGAGCTGTGCGGCACACACATCTCCGCTGAGTGTCGAGAGCCTCGTTGTGTCTTTGCTGGCACCATCTCTTCGTTTTCAAAAAAAAAATCTGTCAAACAGGGTGAAGACCGTTCCAAGTCTCCTCGCAGGCCGAGGCCTGTCGAGGTCCTCCTTTGACACAATCGGTCGTGCCTGAGGAGGAGTCTCTCCTCGCTTGTTTTCATGCCCTCTTCTTCTCCGTCTCTCACACCATATTATGAGATTCTGGGCATCTCTCGTCTCAGAAGACTGCTGTGTTCAAGACCATTCTGTAATATGTGACAGTTTCCCCTAACAGTACGCACATTTTCTGCGCCATTTTCTTTTTTTGTCCCCCCCCCCTTGACAGTTTGTGACTGTTTGGAATACAACTTCCCCTCTTCTTTCTTTGTAAACAAAGCATGCACATATGGATTGAGAATGGTGCAACCCCCCCCCCCCAGGCTCCTGACCGCAACTTCCCCCTCCTCTTGACAATCGCATTCTGTCCAGCATGCAGTGAATTTCACAGGGAAAAGAAATGAAATGTCAGTTTACAGCTATTTAACAGCCAACGTACCACCGAAACTAGAAAAACCTACCTGATCTTCCACTGCATGCGGGTGTAAACAAAGAAACAAACCCTTCTCTCTTCATGTCATACCTAATAAACTGAGAATACTGAGAATAACAGGGGGAAGCCTCACTCTGCCTGTCTTGTCTTAATTCATCAACATACTGAGAATAATGGAGGGAGCCTCATTCTGCCTGTCTCGATTCATTGACATACTGAGAATAAT